GGACACATTTGTAATACCTTAACCAATAAAGAAATTTAAAAAAAATCCCCTTAGACACTTTAAAATTCATATAAACTTAATTTTGCTTTTAAGCACTTTGAATGCCTGACTTCAGTAAGTTTTTCCAGTGATTCCAGTGAATCATTTAAACTAGTAGAATGAATCTCTAATGTTCTTCTGAATGTTATAAACTCTTTAAATACCCCAAACACACTGATTATCTTTTTTTAAAAATATATTTTATTGATTTTTTTACAGAGAGGAAGAGAGAGGGATAGAGAGTTAGAAACATCACTGAGAGAGAAACATCGATCAGCTGCCTCTTGCACATCTCCTACTGGGGATGTGCCCGCAACCAAGGTACATGCCCTTGGCCGGAATCGAACCTGGGACCTTTCAGTCTGCAGGCTGACGCTCTATCCACTGAGCCAAACCGGTTAGGGCCACACAGATTATCTTAATGATGTCCTAAACAATACAAAAATATTAATAATCTAATTCAATTTAGTCCATTATGACTATATAATTTTAAACTCTATTTTATTTTAAACTTTTCCAGGGATTAAAAAAAAAAATGTCAAAACAAAACAGAAACACTTATCCACCAAGAGAGCAGTTTTCCCACCTTAAGGAAGTTGGAATTGTTAATAGAGATTTCTGACCAGGTCACAGGACCTGGGCCTACACAGGCCAACGACCTCCCACAATCCTGCCTTAGCCACCACATTCACTCAGCAGTTTCTAGAGTTGCTGTCACAACAGTAAGTCCACCACCTTCAGGTTTAGGGTGGTTTCTCCTAGATCCAAGTGAGGCCACCATGTAATTCCTCCACTGGATTCAAATGGACCAAAGCCCGCGTCTCCAGGGCAACTTCAGCAATGCTCTTCCTCTTGCTTCACTGCCTCAGCAAACTTAAGGTATTTTTATTGCCCTTTCACTCTAATGTCTCAGAGCAAAGTAATGTTAAAGAAGTTAACGAACCACTGTGAACCTCAATTTTCTCCTGGTATATTGTGAAAATTAATCAGGAATAGTTTTCAGAGTGTGGACCACACTGCTTGGTACATGCAGAGTACAAAATAAATTAAGTTGCCTCTTTTTAAGATTTGTAATTCTCAATTTAATCTTATCATTCCAATATTTAGACCTGATAGATCTAGATAATTGCAAGAAATCTTTTTAAATACATTTTGAAAAATTTCATTGTTACCTCAGTATTTCTCATTATCAGTTTTTTTCATTGTACTAATAAAAACAGAAAGAAATAATGCGGTAAACAGTTTCAATTCTGTAAACACAGCTCATTGCAATGCAAGTACAGTTCTTGGAAAGCTTATAACATTGAGTATGCTTTACCTTTGGTAAATATCTCGCCTTTTACTGGTTTCTAGAGTTCCTTTCAATTGACTCTCAGAAAGCAAACTATCAACCTATAACAAAAAGAAATTTTAAAATATCTTCTTAAATACCATGTAACCTTAGGAAATAAAAGTTTACTCTTTTCGCCAATATTTTAGGATGAACACATACAACAAAGTGGAAAGCACTGTATAGTGAACTCCCACCAGCTGGATTCCACCACTGACAATTTACTATACTTATTCTTATTTGACCCATCTATTCACCAGTCTCATTTATGAATTTCGAAGTAAACTGCAATCACCAATACATTTCCCCTTAAATAATGCACCATGGTATCACTAACTAGAGTTCAATAATTGGTGTAAAATGTACATACGAAATGCACAAATCTTATACATTTGTATACACCTGTGTAACCCAAACCCCATCAACGTACAGAAAAGCACCTTCACCCCAGGACATGCCAGGAAGTATGTGCTCTTTTGTGTAATCCTTTTACACAGCGTGTTTCTGAGATGCTGCCATGTTGTTTGTGGTGTGTATCATTAGTTTGTTCCTTCTTATTGCTGAGTAGTATGCACTGTCTGGATATATCACGTTTGTTTATCCTCATTCTTATAGCTTACACCGTGACTTCGTATTTTCCAAACACATGTAACTTTGCCAAAGTACCCACAAAAGAGCCACCTACTTCTGTTGGATTCTTTTCTATAAATGATGCGAAGACAAAGTGGGTGGAGAAAGAGAGAAGTTGACTAGCTTCTTCTCTACTATTTTGCATCTTGTCTGAGGCATGAATGAGCTGCGCTCTTGTTCCCTGGACACCACGTGGGAAATCTGTTCCACTTTTTGCTTTAGGCGTCCTCTATAGAGACAGGGAAGAAGGAGCTCACACTACCCAAGAACCTTTCCCATTCAGGATACCAAAGGCTCCTGAGCTAATTCTTTTCCAGGCTGGACAATCCTTGTTAATAGTTTGTTTTGTTTTAATAACAATTTTTGTTATTCTCCCAAAATCGCAGTGAATTATAATTAGATACAGAATCATATTACATATCTAGACAAAGCTCAGCTTAAGTTCATGCCTCATCAAGTTTTATTTTAATTTCTACCAGAAGAGTATTTTGTGTTTGTTGTACCACTACAATTCCAATAGGGTCACTTAAGAAATATTTATCCACCCTAGCTGGTTTGGCTCAGTGGATAGAGCGTCGGCCTGTGGACTGAAGGGTCCTGGGTTCGATTCCAGTCAAGGGCATATGCCCGGGTTATAGGCTTGAGCCCCAGTAGTGGGGTATGGAGGAGGCAGCCTATCAATGATTCAATCTCATCATTGATGTTTCTATCTCTTATTCTCCCTCTCCCTTCCTCTCTGAAATCAATAAAAATATATTTTAAAAAAAAGAAATATGTATCCATCAAATCTTTAATACTTTTAAATGAGTGTCCAAAAGTAGATAAAACATGAACATTCAGTAAATCTCTTGTCTGCCATACATAATAAAATAATTTTATTTAGTGGAAACAACACTTGCCAATAGATCAAATGAAAAATAAAAGGTAAAATTAGCAAAGTTAAATAGGAATTTAAGGAAATAATCCACATTTTATTTTTTAAGTAATATACATCTGGTATTCAAATCATAAAAATATCAAAATGTATGGAGAGAAACATAATCATCATCAGCATGCTACATAACCATCCTAGCATGTTTCTGTCTATCTTTGCTGCATATACAGGGTATCCCAAAAAAATGTATACACACTTTAACAGCTGATAGCTCAGTTTTAAAAATAAAATGTATTTTAGCCGAAACCGGTTTGGCTCAGTGGATAGAGCATCGGCCTGTGGACTGAAAGGTCCCAGGTTTGATTCTGGTCAAAGGCATGTACCTGGGGTGCGGGCACATCCCCAGTAGGAGATGTGCAGGAGGCAGCTGATCGATGTTTCTCTCTCATTGATGTTTCTAACTCTCTATCTCTCTCCCTTCCTCTCTGTAAAAAATCAATAAATTTAAAAAAAATAAAATAAAATAAAATAAAATGTATTTTAATAAACATTGCCTTTATAATTATTCAAAGTGTGTGTGTACATTTTTGGGATACCCTATATATTAAAAAATACTGTATATTCAAATTCATATATTTGTAAACTGACATTATATCATAAATAGTTTACCAATACATTAAAATCTCTCACAAAATTTTAATTATAGTATTATAGCCTATCCTAAGTTATATATCATTCCCCACTAGTGATCATTTAAGTTGTAGCCAGTAATACTGCGATGAACACTTTTACACATTAATATCTGTCCCAATTTTGATTCCTATGTGTGGTAAATTCCTGGAAATGTAACCATCCAGCCCAGGAGATGAATATTTGCTACATCTTGTCAAACTGTCTCCAGAAAGGCTGCCCGCTGTACCGGGGAGCAGTGTAAGCAGGTGTGTTTCATCACACCCCCCTCCCCAACACTGAATACTGTGATTTAAAAAGTGTCAAGCCCTCGCCAGTTTGGCTCAGTGGAAAGAGCATCGGCCTGACGACTGAAGGGTCCCGGGTCGGATTCCAATCAAGGGCACTTGCCCAGGTTGCGGGCTCGATCCCCAGTAGGGGGCCTGCAGAAGGCAGCTGATCAATGATTCTCTCTCATCATTGATGTTTCTATCTCTACCTCTCCCTTCCTCTCTGAAATCAATAAAATATATGTATTTTTAGCCGAAACCGGTTTGGCTCAGTGGATAGTGTGTCAGCCTGTGGACTGAAGGGTCCCAGGTTCAATTCCGGGCAAGGGCATGTACCTTGGTTGCGGGCACATCCCCAGTAGATGTGCAGGAGGCAGCTGATCGATGTTTCTCTCTCATCGATGTTTCTAACTCTCTATATCTCTCCCTTCCTCTCTGCAAAAAATCAATGGAATAAATTTGAAAAAAAAATGTTCAAGAGGCCCCACTGGTGTGGCTCAGTGACTGAGTGTGGAGCTATGAACCAGGTCGTCATGGTTGGATTCCAGGTCAGGATTACCAGCTTGATCCTCAGTGCAAGAGGCAGCTGATCAATCACTCTTTCTCATTATTGATGTTTCTATCGCTCTCTCCTTCTCCATTCCTCTATGAAATCAATAAAAAAAATATTTTTAAAAAATAATGTTCAAGAGCCCTGACCAGTGTGGCTGTTATTTGAGCATCCTGTGGACCAGAAGGTCGCAGGTTCAATTCCTGGTCAGGGCACATGCTTCGGTTGTAGATGTGATCCTCGGTCAGGGTGCGCACTGGAGGCAACCAATCAGTGATGGTTTTTTTCTTTCTTTTTTCCTTCTCTCTCTCTCCCCCACCTCACTCCCTCTCCCTGTCTAAAATCAATAAAAACACTTAAAAAATAAATAAGTGTTCGAGATATCTTTCCTTTGCAACTACTTATCTCTGAAGTTAACTTTTCTCATGTATATTAGTTACTTGTATTTCTTCTTTAGTTTAAGTCTTTGCTCACTGACTAGTCCTATTTCGCTTAAGTTCACGGGAAGCAATAGCGGCTTCCATGGAGGAAGCAGGGGGGACGG